TCATTACCGATGGTCAAAACTCTGGCATCACCATGCAAAACCTTGTCCTTGAGGACAACCAAATGAGGATCATCAAACTGACGCTCCCGGATACGATCAAACAAGGAAGACCGAGAGACCACGCAAGCTAGAAGCCGACTGGGCTCCGAAAGATCCAATCTCAAAAATTGGATGGCTAAGGCCTGAACATCCATCGCCATGGTCCTCTCTACTGCTGGTAAATAAGCCAAACTCCCCAAACTCTCTGCCCGGCGGCTCAAAGCATCGGCCACCACATTGGCCTTGACCCCGTGATACAAAATAGTGATATCATAGTCCTTCAGCAGCTCTAACCACCTCCTCTGTCGCAAATTAAGGTCCTTCTGCTTAAGATGCCGCCCGGCATATAACAGTACAAAATCTCAATCTAACACTCCCAAAATACGGATCCCCATGAATCACAAGCTAAAAGATTATATAATAAGCTCTAGCTCCAGAATGTCTACCAACAAGGGAAAATACAGAAAGGGCTATACTAGTACTGAGAATATAAAGGGACTCCTCGGTCTGCGGACATGGCAGATGTACCTCGGAGTCTCTACAAAGCACCTCGCCTCGAGCATGATAAGACTGAGTGGAAGTACCTGGATCTGCACATGAAAAACATGCGCAGGAAGGGCATGAGTACACCACATCGATACTCAGTAAGTGCCAAGCCTAACCTCGGTCGGGTAGTGACGAGGAAGGTCAGGGCCCTACTGAGGTTAAAGGAATACAAGATATAACAGTGTAGAATAAGACAATATACTTAAATGCAACAGTAAAAAGTAACACAAGATAAAAGAACAACAACAACTTTAACAGAGACATAGAAATCACGGAAATAAATACAGCTCAACGCAGAGATAACAACCGGGGGATCTCTTAGTATCCCGAGGATCTCTTAGTATCTTCAATATGTGTGCTGGGGATCTCTCAGTATCCCGAGGATCTCTTAGTATCCTCAATATATGTTGGGGATCTCTCGGTATCCCAAGGATCTCTTAGTATCCTCAATATATATGCTGGGGATCTCTCGGTATCCCAATGATCTCTTAGTATCCTCAATATACGTGCGGGGGATCTCTCGGTATCCCGCACTACAGTCCAAATCAATATAGGTGCAGGGGATATCCCGGAATACAAATCCGTAGTCCCAAAGTAAACAAGCAGGGGGATCTCCCAGGATACCGTCTCGTAGTTCCAAAGTAAACACACAACAGCAACACGAAGAATACTCAATTCAGTTCAAATTTCATACCAAGGTAAAAATAGGTATTTCTAACCTAGCATGCCACACATAATCCAAATAAGGCAGTTTGAGCAAACAAGGCAATTAAGACAATTAGACATGCTTCCCTAAGCTAATAGCAGGCTTAAATTACACATGGTATGAACACGAAAAAGGAAATCACATTTATAGTTACTTAAGAAAATAGATTTTCAACAATTAGCACAAGTACGCACTCATCACCTCACGTACAAGGCATTTAATTTATCAACAAACCAAATCCTAATGGGGAGTTCCCCCACACAAGGTTAGACAAGTCACTTACGTCGAACCGACTCAAAATCAACCCGAAACCATGTTCTTGCCACGAGTACTCGACTCCAAATGGCCCAAATATATTCAATTCAATTGCATAATGTAAATAACATTTCAAGTAACTGATTCTACAAATAAATTCTAAGCTAATACGCGAAATTAGGTAAAATGACCAAAATGCCCTCCGGGCCCACGTCTCAGAATCGGGTAAAATTTACACTTTCCCAATCAAAACTCGAAATTTAGGTCTAAGAACTTTCTTCAATTTTTTCCCCAATTTTCATCTCAAATCCGAAATTAAACGATAAAACTAACAATAGATTAATGGAATACAACTAGAAAGGGATAAGGAATTGTTACCCACTGATTGCCTCTTCAAAAATCTCCCAAAATCATCCTCTCCCGAGCTCCAAATCAATTTTCTAACTTTTGAAACTAAACCCTCGAAATTCCGATTTTCTGCCCAGTAAATCCGCACCTGCGGTCGAATACCCGCTTCTGCGCTACCACTTCTGCGGTTTTCACTGAAATCTCTATCTCCGCACCTGCGACCTTGATTCTGCATCTGCGGTTCCGCAGGTGCGGCAACTCTTCCGCTTCTGCGATCTCTGCTGCCTTCGCTTGTGGCCATATCTACGGCTCCATGCTCGTTTCTGCAAGTCCGCACCTGCGGTCCCCTAGCCGTAGGTGCGGTTATGACAGCAATGGAAAAGCTTCAGCTACCAAACCAAATTCCTAACTCTTCCGTTAACCATCCGAAACCATCCCGAGGCCCCCGAGACCTCAACCAAAAGCATGAACAAGTCACATACCACTGCAAAAACTTATAGAAATCTTCAAAACACCTCAAATAATATCAAATCAACCAATTAACATCGAATTCAAGCCTAAGAACTTCCAAACTCTCAAAATAAGCTTTCGATAAAAAAGTCTATCAAACCTCGTCCGAATAACCTGAAATTTTGCACACACACGTCACATTCAACCCTATGGAGCTACTCCATCTTCCGAAATTCCATTCTGACCCCGATATCAAAATCTCACTATCGAACTGGAATCTTCAAAAATTCAACTTTCGGCATTTCAAGCCTAATTAAGCTACGGACCTCCAAAACACAATTCGAGCACGCTCCTAAACCCGAAATCACCCAACGGAGCTAACGGAACCAACAAAATTCCATTCCGAGGCCGTCTTCATATTGTTCCGACTATGGTCCAAATTCTAAAACTTAACTCTCATTTAGGGGACTAAGTGTCCCAAAACTCCAAATAAATCTTCCCGGCAACTCACAATAGCAGAAATAAATACGGGGAATGCAATTAATAGGGGATCGGGGCGTTAATTCTTAAAACGACCGGCCGGATCGTTACAAGGTGCCATGTCAAACTAGGCCTAGTAATATGTACAAACTAGGTAATATTGCATATATATATATATATATATATATATATATATATATATATATATATATATATATATATATATATATTTATGTACGCTAATAAAAAGTGAAATAAAACTACAAACTGGAGATCATATGATATTGGTGTACTACAAAAGGAAAAAAAGGATTCATATCTTGTAAAGAGAGTGTTTGAATGTGATAATTAGCCTTGTAAATCATTTTAAATAGGGATATGAGATGAAGAAAAGGAGAAATGATATATTAAAAAAATAGTTATCTATACTAGAGAGACTATTCCAAAGAGGATAGGAAGGAGAATAAACATACACTAAAATTAAACAAAAAAAGAAAAAAGAAAGGGATGGTTGAAAGAAAAAAAAGAATGAAGGTTAAATTAATGAAGGATAATTTGAATAAATATAAATCTACTATAGAAGTATTTTTATCTTGAAGAAGTTAATTTTTGTTTCTGCTTCTTAGAAGAAGCTAGAATTTGTTATTTCTTTCTTAAAGAAAAACTACTTACTTCTATAACTTAAATTTAAAAAAAGTGTTTTTTTGTTCAGAAATTATTTTTTGCCTCCCAGAAGCTTGGTCAAACATGCTCCTAGTATAGTACTCCCTCCATTTCAATTTAGATGAGGTAGTTTGATTCGACATAGAGTTTAAGGAAAAAAAACTTTTGAAAATTGTGGTCTTAAAAGCTTACGGAGTAAAAGTTGTTGGGCCACGACATTTGTATGATTATAAAAGCTTCACATTGAGGATAAAATGAGTAGAAATAGTGTGGGATAGCCACTTTTTAATATGGTATTTAGTTTTTATCCAGCATTTTTAATGCTGAGCAAAAATAGCCACTACTCTATTAAAATTAATACGAAAAAACAGTTTTACCCTTTTTTCATGAGTGCTGTGTAAATATTAAAGATATGACGTCATTAACTTCATGAGTGCTGTGTAAATATTAAGAATATTTTGTCCTTAATTTTTACACATCACTCATGAAGTTAAGGACAAGACATCCTAAAGTTTAACAACAAAAGGTGCAAATACAGGATACTTTGTCCTAAATATTTACACAACACTCATGAAGTTAAGGACACCATGTCCTTAATATTTACGCAGTACTCATGAAGTTAAGGCCACCACGTCCTTAATATTTACACTGCACGTATGAAGTTAAGGACATGATGTCCTAAAGTTTAACAACAGAAGGTGCAAATACATGACACTTTGCCCTTAATATCTATACATCACTATGAAGTTAAGGACATGACCATATCCTTAATATTTACACAACACTCGTGAAGTTAAAGATACCATGTCCTTAACATTTACACTCCACATATGAAGTTAAGACAGGATGCCCAAAGTTTAAAATAGAAGGTGCTAATACATGACACTCTGTCCTTACTATTTACAGAACACTCATGAAGTTAAGGATACTATGACTAGCATAGGGGTATTTTTGTCTGGACGGGTAAAAGTTTATTAAAGCACCGACTAAAGAATAAATACATTTTAAATAGTTGCTTAAGAGTAAATACAACTCTAATTAGTGAGTAAATATGTATTTTCCCATAAAATAAAGAATTTAAAGTTCAATTATTTTCAATAGTAAAAATATATCATTCCTTTTGGTATTCCTTTTCGTACAGAGTAATAAGTAAAGTGCATAATCTGAATTGCAAGAGTTAGTGATACAATACCCTGATAAAATGAATTATTTTCTTGTTTCTTGCAAAAAGAGATACCATGAATAGCATAAGAATATTTTTGTCCGGACGGATAAAAGTTTATTAAAGCACCCATTAAAAAATAAATACATTTTAAATAGTTGCTTAAGTACAGCTCAAATTAGTGAGTAAATATGCATTTCCCCATATAAAATAAAGAGCAAGAGTTGTGATACAATGACGTGATAAAAGGAATTATTTTGTTGTTTCTTGCGAAAAAAGGAAGATTTGCGCGTGAAGAAAACGCGCGCAAGCACGTGGAAGGTTCTACAGCTGAGCAGACAAGCTCCTCTTAAACCCCATTTCCCTGTCCTCTCCTCTCTAAAACCCAAAAAATCAGTACTACCATTTCCTCTGTTCCTTAAACCCTTAAATTCGCCGACCAAACTTCGCTGATGACAAAATTATCGAAGCTAAATGTATCGAACCCCAAAGTCTGGGTTGTGATCGGCGTCGGTGTTGCCGGAATATTGATCCTGGCTGAAGTTCAACGGCGACGATTGAAAGCCAGAAACTCAATCAAAGAAGATTTTGGCGCGTTCATTGAACGCGTTGAGCTGCTTCCGTTTCCTCAACCACCTCCTCCTGCTGCTCCACTTCCCCTTTCTGCCCTCACTTTTGCTATCAAAGACAAGTTCGTCACACTCCTCTGTTAAATAAATTTGGCCATTTGATAAAGAACAGTTTTTTTTTTTAATTGTTCTTTTTGGACTCACATTTTGTTTTGATATTGCAATTTTGGACGTGGAATTGGTTTTAATTATTTTTTTTCCTGTACTTATAGTATTGATGTGAAGGAATCTGTGACGGGTTTCGGTAGTCCGGAGTGGAAGCGGACACATGAGGTGGCTACGAAGACAGCCATGGTCGTGACTGCTCTTTTGAAGAATGGTGCAACCTGTGTTGGAAAGACCATCATGGATGAATTTGGACTCGGGTAGCTATGCTTTTAATACTATGTATTGTTTGGCATTAATCCCTTCTCATTTTATTTGACGATATTTATTTGGATACGGAGTTTCAAAAGTTAATTTGAATCATGGGTATGTTTGGTATGAAGGAAGTCATTTGCCATGGAAAATGTTTCTTAGAAAATGTTCCCTGGAAATATTTTCCTAGAAAATGTTTTCTAGTTTTTGGTTGGTGAGTGAAATTTCCCCCCAGAGAAATATACATTAAAGATTTAACAATAATATCAACAAATGGGAGAGTGTTTTGAAGAAATTTTGGGTACTAGAGATTAATGGTAATGTCTAACTGTTAATTGAAATGAATAATATGAAGTTAGAAATTGAGATAGTTGTAAAGAAATTTTGGGTAGTAGAGATTAATGGTAATGTCTAACTGTTAATTGAAACGAATAATATGAAGTTAGAAATTGAGATAGTTGTAAGGAAAATGACTTCAGCCCACAAGTCAGAGAGATCATTTTCCTCCTTTTGATGGAAAATGTTTTTCATGAAAAATGACTTCCGTCTTACTAAACACCATGAAATGATCTCCTCATGAAATACATTTTCCTGGAAGTCATTTTCCCTCATAAACATTAAATTAATCATGAACAGTAGTTTGATAGAGAAAACATCTCATCAAAATCCAACTGAATCATTTAATGAATTTGAATTCTTACAAGTTGTGAAAGATGTATACGAATGGAATGGTAACAAACATTCTCGAATGTCTCAAAATGGAAAGAGTGTTTGAAAAGTTGGGATGGAGAGAGTATGATTTTCAGCTATATCAATGGCTATTATTGGACGCTGCACTAAGCCACTAACTCCCCCCCCCCCCGGAATGTTTCAGGGTTACTGGAGAGAATCTGCACTACGGTACTCCAACAAATCCAAAAGTGCCATCTCATATTTCAGGTGGCTCATCCAGTGGTTCGGCTGTTGCTGTTGCAGCTGAACTAGTTGATTTTGCTCTAGGTATGGTTTTTCAATTGAAGTTACAGTTATTAAGAGTCAGTGATTCAAAGTTTTCCTCTTCTTGTGTTCCCTGTTTCATTTTGATTAAGCCATAACGGTTTAAAGTATGCATATGATGCACAAATATGTTGGACATTCTTGCTGTGGTCAAGGCCTCCTCTTTGGTGCCTTCCTTTTTCTTTTTCTTCTTTTGGATAATTTAATGTCAGATTCTTTTTTCCTCATCTTAGATATGTGTGAAGTAGTTTCACCACATTTCTGACTGTACTGGACTAATAAAAGAAGACCTATAGATTTAATTTTTACGAGGTTGATTGGTTTCTGTTTAACTAGATTGGAGTGGTAACAATTTGTAAAAGGATTTGACTTCAGATTCAAAAAATTAGATGGTTACAGAGGCTGAATTATTTCAGGTACTGATACGACTGGGTGCATTAGAGTACCAGCAGCATTTTGTGGTGTCCTTGGGTTTAGACCGTCACATGGGGCCATATCAACTATTGGCATCCTGCCTGTATCGCAAAGTTTGGACAGTATTGGTATGTATAATTTTGCTATCTCCAAACTATTACCACAGTATTTGCTTTGTGACTTGTCAAAACAATGTCCAGGAGGCCAAAATCATTATCTGCAGTTGTATGTAAGCATTTAATGAAAAGGTAGAAATAGTCTCCCAGCAAAAGTCCCTTAACTTTTTGTTGCAAAACGCATTTGTGGAAACCAGGATAATAAAAAGTTCTTCCCTTTTTCATATTAGAACAGCACCAAAAAAAGGTTGAAAAGTTTTTATGCTAAATGGGATAAAAAGGAACTTTTACCTGTTCTCTTCTTTATCGTTTAAGGCCCGAATCCAGCCCCAATTTCTGATACTCTTCACAACCATAAAACTAGTTGACACAAGAACCTATTAGAACATGTGTTGATTTATTAGGCAACTATTTAATTGGTCTAGTGTAAATTAGGTGGCTTCCTGAGGAATAAATAAGTTAATGAATTAAAGGAAATAATAAAAAACTACAATATTTGGTAATACACAAGGACTTGGAAACATTTCTATTGCAAGAGCATTCCTGGATATTTTAAAGTTAAGTGTTGTTTCTAAATTTCTAAACGCGTGCAGGATCTTAGAGGATACTCCATATTTTTCAACTTTATCTTTAGCTACATCGCTGGCAACCTATTTCTGCATTCTCCAGTCCATCTTATTGGGATTTCTTCTTTGGCATTGTCCAGCTTGTCACTTATTTGTAAAAATAACGTGCCCCATCTGTTTGTCTTGTCAAATTTGTCGACTGTCCACGCCAGAAGGTATGTTTTCTTAAGGTGAATACAACGGTAAAAACTTACTCCAGAATCCTCCTCAGCGCCCCATGCCCCACATGCTAGGTCTAGTACTGTCATTAACAACCATGTCAACAGTCCACATTAGCTGCCACATTCGCAGCCATGTGAATAACCAGTCAAGTCAACTATCTACTTCTGACTGATCTAGTTAGCTGTCCAGGTCAAATGACATCTCCAATCACCTCACATCAATTGACCTGTGAAGTCAACATTTCGTGTAGTAGACATGTCCACTCAACTGCCCACATTTTTTACAAATTCCAAAGTGCTATTAATGGTTTTTTATCATGTTTTGATTCTATTGCAAAATGTTAGATTCAGGCCATTATCAAGTATAATTGGGACAATTCATACACAAGTTTGAAGTAGAGTGTTAAACTATTTCAGATTTATTAGGCAGCTACTTTATGTTATGAGGTAATTAGGTGACCACTGTATTAGTGTTAGCAACTTTTGGTGTATGGTTAGTGAAGCTATCCCATAATTAGAAGGATAGGAAATCATAGTAAATAAGGTAACTTTGTATCTGTAAATAAAATCAATAAAGACAGAGGCACCATTCTCACGCATTCTGAAATATTCAGTTCTCTCTAACCTAGTTCTTTGCACTACCATCACTATCGTTTCTTACAACGCTTTCCTTCCTAATGGCCCCCAGCGTTCGTCTCCTATTGTCGGTATTGGCCCAATAAAGTACTTTTACCATAGGTGTTCTTTCCAATCCATGCATTTCATCATTCCCCTGGAAATATCCGCTGCCCATATTGTATTCCGGCTTTCACTGCCTCTCAAGGATTGATCTTTAGGATTTGAAGGTGGACATAAAACCATCTACAGATTCTTAGCTAGCGTTTGGACATAGATTTGGTTAAAATTTGAAAAAAATGAGCTTTTGAAGATGAGATTGAATGATTTTTGAAAGTTGAAATTGTGTTTGGATATGCATTTTACTTGAAAAGAATTTGAAGTTCTGTGAGTAGAAAACTTCAAAAACTACTCTAGAGATGCTTATGGGATTTGAAGATTTTGTTTTCAAATCTGCCAAAAATGGTTAAAATCTATAAACAAACGGATATTTGAAAACAAAATTTGAAAAAAAGCTCCCAAATTCTATGGCCAAACGGGAGCTAAACTCTCAATCATTTCTTGTAACGCTTGCATCCCCTGTATTACTGTCGATGCCTATTCTCCAAATAACGTCATTGCCTTTTCTAGGAAAAAGGTTCGCAAACCTTTGGCACTTCATCTCTACGTGGCATTGGTCTATCAGGCTCTCGCTCATTGCAGGAAATTTTCTACTGTCGCATCCCTTAGGAGTGTAAGTCGTGTCTCTCTCCCTCTGTGGCTGATCATCTGCTCAGATCAACTATTGATTATTGAGTTGGTGAGCAATTCTTTCATCTACTACTAGTAGCTAATCAAACACATTCCTATGGATACAATTTTTAAATATTGGATTTTCATTCCTCCTTTTGTTCCTTCGCTGCTCCTCAACATGTGGACTATAGCGGACTTTACTGTTGTTCTCCTCCTTCCAGAGGCAGGTCCTTACCAAGTTTGGTAGATAAGATTGCATGCTCATATCTAAGAGTGAGTAGTACTTCCGTTGAAACCATATGGATTATGATTATGTTAACCTTCGATAAGCGCTGGGACCACTGCCATCGTCTTGATGTTGCTCAATGGCTATCCAATTACAAACTTGTGGCTCCCGAGTCAATTGCTCTCAGTCCTCTGCTACTCCTTTTTCGTTACCATAAAACCTGCAGAAGGTGTTCCATATTGACTAGGTTTGTGGAATCGTACTTAGGGGTGCCTGGTGGGAAATTTGCAACTGCGCGCCGTTTTGCCATCTACAGTTCTAGACATTTTAGCTGCAAATACATTTAAAATATAATGCATGAATTGAAGTGGGTTAAGGGACTATTGCAGGGAAAAAGAGATTATATTAGGTCTACAGGTCAGTCAACCTTGTATAGGCCAGTGAACAATTGAGCCGATAAATGTTGGTTGATCATATATCCTTTCATTAAATTTCCTTGAATCATAGTATCCTTTCATATTTTATTCCTTCATCTAATTGCGATGATCTATTCTTTAAAAGAATCAACAATGGACAATTTATTATGTATCACAAAAGTAAACACCAAACTAACAAAAGACACCGAGAACAAAGATATGTTCGATGACTGGTTGATACAAGAAGTTCGGTAAAAGCAATGGAGGGAATTGCGTAGTAACTACTCATGACTGAGGCGTATCTGGGTCATTTTATAAATGCCTTGGCTAAATGTGTTGATGGTAAAGCTGAAATTTCAGCTTCTGAAGTTTGATTAACTGAAAATTAAGATGGTCACTGTTATAGTAAAAAAAAAGTTTACATTGGTCTCTATTGGAAAAATGTGCAGAATTCTCAGGTACTAGTGCTAGGCATTATATCAGTTTCAATTTTTGATAATGGCAATGCCTTTATTAGGATGGTTGGCCCGTGATCCATCTGTGCTGCATCGAGTTGGACATGTTTTACTTCAGTTAGCATCAGTTGAACCTAAGAGGACAAGATGCTTTGTCATAGCTGATGATCTTTTTCAGCTGTGTGAAGTACCAAAGCAGAAGACGGTGTATGTTGTGAGCAAAGTAATAGAAAAATTATCTGGATGTAAGTTGCAGGTTGCCTTGTCCTTTTTCCTCCTAATTTAGAAGTATTACAATTCTTTGATGCAGTCATTCGGGTAGCAGATGCTGGTATTATCTACTTCCTTTGTATCACTTATTTTTCTTGTATTTGCACAGACCAGACACCGAAACATCTGAACCTTGGGCAGTATATTGCATCAAATGTACCCAGCTTGAAAGGTTTCCGTGAAGAATCAACCAACCAGCAAAATGGGATGTCTATCCTGACGGCTCTCTCTTCTGTGATGTTTCTTCTTCAAAGGTCATGCATATGCCATTCTTTGATGGACTAGTCTATTTCTTACTAGAAAGACTTTTTAAGCTGCTCTTATTATGCTTTCCACTGTCTGATAACATGTCCTGCTATGTGCCGTATCTTAGTGGTTTATAATTTAGTATGCACCAGAATTGGTTTCAGAAAATTTTGAGCATCTCATTTGCTGGATTCTCTCTTCACAAAAATCTCTGTCCACGAAAATTTCCAAAGCCCTTTCTCTCTCTCTCTCTCTCTCTCTCTCTCTCTCTCTCTTTTGGAGCGAAAGCTAATAGCATCTGGCTACAGTTTAGTTATGGCCTCCTGCATTGGGTTGACCACCTTGTGAGATAGCTGTGTTTGTCTATGTGTTGAACCTCAGGCATGCATGTGCAAAACATCGAGCTGCCCTCCAGCGTTTTTTTTTTTTTTTGATGAAGTCATAATAGATTTCATTGCTGGAATCAAGAAGATGCATAATAATACAAAAGTTAACTGTTAGCTCAATTACAAAAAGACTATTCTAGTACCAGGGAGCTAATAACGAAGTTCAAAAAGTTGTCAGGAGAATCTAAGGGGGAAAGGTAATGCCAACTATAAAGATACAAAAGACATCTAGCCTTGAGGGAATGTTTTGGAGTTGATAAACCTTCAAAACATCTGTTGTTCCTTTCTGACCATATACACCAAAAAATACTCGCAGGAATCATCTTCCAGATTGGCCTGATGGCCTTACCAACTCTCCAGTTACACCAGCACTCAAAGGCCTCTTTAGTGTTATGCGGCATTACCCAGCTAATACCAAAAATACACAAAAACATATTCCATAAGTCAGCAGCAACTGTACAGTGTAAAAATAGATGGTTGTTAGATTCAAGTTTCTGTTGGCACATGTAACATCTATTGACCATCTGGAAGCCTCTTTTCTTAAGATTGTCTTGTGTGAGGCATGCTTCATAGAGGGCTGTCCAGCTGAAACATTTGATCTTTGTTGGGAGATTAGTCTTCCATATCAACTTCCATGGCCAGTCATCAATCATGTCATTAGGAGCGTGGTTTATTTGTTGGCAAGATCATCTGCTTCTTTCTTGCAACATCTCCTGTACCGTCCTGGGTTCCATCTGCATGGAGATAGTTTGTTTCCCAGAGGTTCTCCTTTTGCCTTTTCTTTAGTGGCGTTGGAAATCTCATCTTTGAGTTCTGTAAATCCATGGGGAGCTGTGCCTTTTAAAGCTGTGAAAGTGAATACTTTATCCCTCCATATACCACTTTGATCTAAGAAGATGGTTAGATCTAAGAAGAGAGTCCACTGTTTGCTTAGCTAATGTGTATATTCTTCTTTTCCTCATCTTCACTAAAGTCTTGGTTCACCTGTAGAATAAAGAAAGCTACTTCTCTGTTCTTTGATTCAAGAAATAGTCTCAAGTTTATGGACAACTCTAGATCTGGTTCGTAGTAAACTAATTATTTGATATTCTTGCACATTAGATGATGCATAAACTCATTATGAAGTATTTGACATAGAGGGGATACTGGAATTGGAGCTGAATGGTTTCGTATTCGAAAACCCAATTTTTGATCCTATTCTAAATTGTTCTGCTGTTTCGCTAAAATTTCAATCATGACCATATATTCATCTAGCAAATGTAGTAGGATTCTTACCTTTGCTTTGTTCACTATATCTGGAAGACTTCTGTATAATTTATGATCTATGACCAAAGCAACTATGGGGCATACCAGCACTGGCAGTGTATCTTTCACTAAGCCACTTTCACCTTGAGACTCAACCGCTAGCTGGAGTTTTTCATAGCTTAAAGCACTCCACCTTGTCAATATATCAATAACTTTGTCAAAACTGCAATTATTTGGAAGTTAAGTAGCATGTGACTTGTTAAGTGATAGTTATAGTGCTGCATTTTGCACTTTTAGCAGTAAAGCACTGACAACCATCTGCAAGGTGCTGTTGATCTTCTCTATTAGTAGTAAAGCGCTGACGGATAGCAGGTAGTGGTGGGAATGTCAAACTGGATTGTTTGCCTGTAGGGCTTAGTTCAAGTGGCAAAGGTTGAGGGACTTATGACCTAGGTCACAGGTTTGGGCCCTGCGCCATGCGAACTAAGCCTGTTGTTTAAGTGGAGAAGGGTAGGGGGTGGACCAAGTATCCCCGAGTTTCGAAGGCTGCGGTCGGTCCGAGACAGATTTCTCAGTCATTAAAAAAAAATTTTAGAGGACTGGATTTTTTTTTGGGATAAGTAAATATCGAACTGGATTTATTTTTGAATTAGATAGGAGCATTTAGTATTCTCTTTATTTTTGTTGCCTTTCGAGAAAGATCGCTTTACGTGGTTCACTGTTGTATGCCTTGTAGTGTACTATTTCTCATGTTTGTCTAAACTTAGTTTATAGACATACTCAGCGGCTGCATCTGTGCTATCTCTGTTTTTTTCCTCTTCATCCTGCCTTATCTCGTTGATAATTCTGATGTAGTCGAGGCTTTGATTTCCCCATGACCATCATCTCTGTTGCTTAATTTTTCTCAGATATGAGTTTAAAACAAATTATGAAGAATGGATGAAAGCGGTGAAACCGAGGTTAGGTTCTAAAGTCTCTGCTCATGTTGCTGCAGCAATGACCTCGACTCCTGAGAATATTAAAATTCTTTACAAAGTTAGGACCGAGATGCGAGTTGCTATGCAGAATCTTTTGAAGGTATTCCGCAGCTTAAATATGAAATAAAAAATTCTTGTTTATTATGATTCCTTTTTCCTCATACATCCTCTTTTCCTACTTTACTTTTTGGGGTTGGCGTTTTGCTTTTTTTTGGGGGGGGGGGGGGGTTTGAGGTCTGAGATTTTACCACTCCATTGGTGGCAGCTATAAGGTACCATTAGCTTCTCATCTTCATCAATACCAGTTAAATGTTCAAACAACTTTGGGTACAAATGTCAAGGAAACAGTTTGAAAAGTTTGCCATGTCACTTACCACTTTAATCTCTGATGCAATACTATAACACTTGGTTTTGCATCCCATTTCATGTAACATGTTTGTTTTTTGGGTTGTCCCACAATGTTTGGCATGTACAATACATCAGAAAAAGTAGGGAGTCATTTGGTTGGCCAGAGACAGTCATCTCACATATAGTATTGGACTATTGGTGATGGGCATTTGGTTGTTAAATAGAAAAGGATTCGTAACACTCATGTATAGTTAGTGATTTGGTTACTCTCTCAAACCCCCTATGCTTCGATTTCTTTTATCCCTCAAATAGAGTATCGTGTTACAGGATGGTCAATGTCATTAACCCAATTTGTTAGCTATTCCCTTTTTATAATGCCCACTAGTATGGTTCTTTGTATTACAATTCCAATGTATCATAATCCCACTTTTTACATCCAACTATTGTATCGGCATATCTAATGGCATGTTAAAGCTATACAATCATGTATAGATTTAACTATCAAAGAAACTTTCTACACCAATTTAATAATGAGTTCAACATTACCTTCTAGACTATCAACGTATTTATCTCACAGATTCCTGATTCCCCTGCTTGACCACATGACATAAAATAATGTTTCTAAGAGTTGAATGTAAAAAAATGACCTCAATTCATTTTAAAGCCAGACAGTCTTTGCTCTGATTTTCATGTTTGTGGTATCTATTTGGTCTTCATGGAATATGCATCTCAAGTACTCACTTTTTTTTATTTGAAGAACAATAGCATATTGGTACTTCCGACGACCGCAGATCCTCCTTCAAAATTAAAGTCAAGGAAAGGTCTATCGGCTGAAGTTCATGATAGACTATTTGCCTTATTGAGCATTGCCAGTATGTCAGGTTGCTGTCAGGTAATTTCATTTGCAGTATTCAAGCATCATGCTGTACTTAGTCTTCCCCATACTTCCGATTTCTTTCCATATTTTAGTGATTTCATATTCTGTTCCTTGTTTTGAATGTCAGGCTTCCATTCCTTTCGGAGAACATGATAACTATCCTATATCCCTGTCATTTATTGCATCTCACGGGACTGATAAGTTTCTACTTGACACTGTCTTGGATATGTATTCCTCTCTTCAAGAGGAAGTAAGCATACAATCCAGTGCATCACCATTACCGGATACCAATGGGAGCATTGATGCATCTGAACTTTTGAAAGAAAAGGTTTTGTTCTCCTCTTTTTCTTTTAATATGTTAAGGTCAACTGCTTAGTTTTGTTCAACATGATTATATTCAGTACCTTAATTCTCTTTGTGGCATCAAACTGTTTTATATCCTCATCCGAGAGGGTACAAAGACCTGAAGTATAATTCACATCTCCTTGTTACAGCTTTTTAGCTGCCAGCACTGGTATTCAATATTATCTCTGATGAGCAGCATGGGGGGCACTTAAAAATATTAACTTTGACCTTCATTCTCTACTCCAAAGAAGAAGAGTCCGCTAATAAGACATACCAGAAACATTCAATTTCACAACGATTGTTGTAACATTGATTTCTAGTCGACTTGCTACTGCTAAGTGGTTACTGTAATCCTAGCAAATTTTTAATTTCAGTCTTAAGTAACAGCATATGCAATATGAAATAATGTTGTGCCTAATAGTTATCCGTATTCACTTTACTATCTTCTGAAAGTTATGGGTTCTTTCATTAGTATGTTCTTCTAATTTATCATGGTGTTCTGTGTAGGGAAATGCTGCATATAAGGGCAAGCAGTGGAACAAAGCCGTGAGCTACTATACAGAAGCAATAAAATTGAATGATAACGCCACATACTATTGCAACAGGGCAGCTGCTTACTTAGAATTGGGATGGTATGATAAAATCATGTAGAACAACTTCTTCAGTGCTTGAGGTTTTAATTTATTTATTTTACCGAGTAATTTCACTTGCAGCTTTCAACAAGCTGAAGAGGACTGTACTAAAGCAATTTCACTTGATAAAAAGGTATCAGGAGAAATTTAATTTCTGGAATTGTGCAACTGATATTAAGTGCACTCTTTTTTCTGAGTTGTACTCTAATCTAACACTCCTTTGTAATATTATTCCAAAATAATACTAGTATTCAACTAAGTTGCTCCGATACGGCAGTTTAGGTGCTGCACCCGTATCGACACAACACTAGTATGGGTTTGGGTATGGGATCCGTATCGGATTTGGTCAAACAATATTGGGTACTTTGACCACGGACGAAAAAATTCGAGAGTAGATATAATTTGATTCCTGAAATCAGAACCAAAACTAGGGTAAATCTGAAGAAAATAACATGCCTTATCTAGAAAATCAATCCTTTACTTATCTACAACTTGAGAATAAAAAAGAAATTCACTTTACAAGCTATACATAAGGTTAACTACGTGAGAGCTTAATTACCTAAGGTTAGACTCATACTATTCTACCTTTTCCACTTGTAGCTTAGGTTAATTATTCGATGCATGTATGATCCAAATGTATTCTCACTTGGCGGAATTTATTTATTTTCTTTGCAGAATGTAAAGGCTTATTTGAGACGGGGAACCGCCAGGGAATCGCTTCTCTTCTATAAAGAGGCTCTACAAGGTGAGGTTATGGTGTTTGATATCTCCCCATCACTATGAGCTCTCCGGAGCTAATGACAAGGACAATTACCAAATTTAACTTAGTCATGTCATGTGAATTTTAGAAGTTGGTAGCTTGATATAGATTTGTACTACATTTGGGGGGGGGGGGGGGGGGGTCTTGGGATGGCTTCCTATTTTCTGGTTCTGCTGCTATTTTGTTTTTAGTGCCTTGTGTGTCACGAAGATGAATGTGGCAAAAATGAGAATATTGAGATGGATGTGCGGGTACACCAGGGTAGATAAGATTAGGAATGAAGTTATTCGGGACAAGGTGGGAGTGGCCTCTGTGGAGGACAAGATGTGGGAAGTGAGACTTAGAGCCTGTTTGGCCAAGCTTCTAGGTCAAAGTACTTTTTTTTGTCAAAAAGGTACTTATTTGAAAATATGAGGTGTTTGGCCAAAACCGAGAAGTGCTTTTAAGCAGCAACAGAAGCAGTTTTTCTGCTTTTGGGAAGAAGCTACAAATTCTAGCTTCTTTCAAGAAGCAGAAGTAGAAAATTAATTTTTCAAGACAAAAATATCCTTAGTGTAAAATTATATTTCCTAAATCATCCCTTATTAATTTAACCTTTACGTTTTTTCTGTCTACCATCCCTTTCTTTCTCTTTTTTATATTTACTGTATTTTTATTTTTCTTCTCTTATTCCTATTTGGAATAATCTCTCTACTATAAATAGATATCTTCTTTTCTCTTCCGCCGTTTCTTCTTAGTCTCCTATTACTCTTTGAAATAACAAGGCTAATCACCATATCCAAGCACTTTCTTCATAAGGTATGATTTATATAATTACATAATATTATTTATGTACTTATATTTATATTGTTTAAATCTTGATATATATTACTTTATGTCTTATACTTTAATATAATTACATAAAAATTTAAAAATAATTAAATTCTCTTATAATAAAATATTTAAGATTTCTCTTTTTTAAATAATGCTAATGTAAAACTAATTGTTATTGTCCTTTACCGTAATTTGACACTCAAAAGTACTTTTTGGAAAGATTGGCCAAACACAATTCGCTTATCAAATATCGCAAAAAGTACTTCTCAAACGAGTTGGCCAACACAAACTGCTAATCTATGAAAAAGTATTTTTCGAAAAGCGCTTCTGAACAAAAGTACTTTTCAAAATAAGTAGTTTTTGTTAGCTTAGCCAAACGCGTAGATGGTTCGGACATGTGAAAGAGGAGAGGCGGTGATTGCCTAGCAAGGAGGTGTGAAAGGTTGGCCTTGGAGGGCCTTTAGAGAGGTTGGGGTAAGCCAAAGAATTACTGGGAATAGGTGATTAGGCAAGACATGGCGACGCTCAAGCTTATCGAGGACATGACCTTTGATAGGAAGGTGTGGAGGTTGAGAATTAAGATAGAAGGTTAGGTAGCCTAACGTCTACCTTGTTCATACCAGTAGTTTTAGTGCATTACTTAGTGCTAATCTTGTATTTCTTATTCTCAGATTTCTATTATTACCTGTCGATTCTTGCGCTTTCGTTTTCTGATTGCTTTGCTGTGTTACTGCTTGTTGTTATTTCCTGCTTTTTACCTTTCTTGAGCTTTTTTATCTTCTTTACCTTTATATTTTTCCTAAGCAAGAGTCTACCAGAAACCTCCCTACTTCCGCAAGGTAGGGGTAAGGACCGTGTATACACTACCCGCCCAAGACCCCCAATGTGAGAGTCCACTGGTTTGTTTTTGTTGCTGTGTTGTGTTGTGTCACGGGGCAGCTATTTAAGTAGCAGTAGGTGCGGACAGCACCTCTGCACCATTACTTTTGGCTCGAAGCTCTCACTATATACATAAATATAATGTGTGCGTGTGTGAGTAAAATATTAAAGTTATAATCAATTTGTAACCACTTTCCCATTGACCATATTATTCACTCTAATTTTTTGTGTCACTTCCATTTTTTCATGGTTCATGTTAAACATGAACTATATTTCCTTTTTATCTTTGTGATATCGAAAGTAGAACCATATTTGTTGAAGACACTTGTAAAATTGCACAGATATCAGTTTTAGGTTGATGGTGTATCCTCGCCAGAGATGGGCTTCTGTTTTCCTTTTAGTTTGGTTGTTTATTAATTTACTGTGAATTTGGATATTCCAGATTTCAGACATGCACTCGTTCTGGAACCGCAGAATAAGGTTGCCAGTCTGGCTCAAAAGAGACTCAGAAAGCTAATTAGTTGATCAAAAGTGGTATAAGATGATGAGAGGGAATACTCCTAGAGGAAGATTAGCGGATTGATTTTTTGCTTCTTTCTTTACCGCTTGAGGCCGAGGATAATCTACAGGGACAAATTTTCCTGAGAATGCTTGGCTTGGAAACCAAGCTTCAAAATAGAAGTGCATGTATTTTCTCATGGATATATCGTTTTCGTTGTCAAGTGTCCAAATGTAATTAATTCATCCATTGGTGAAAAATGGTGTTACCATTGGCTATAAATTATCTTGCTGCCCTTCCCCTGTCCATTTGATTAACAGAGTTTACAAGGATAAACTTTGGAGCTGGGTTTAAACGTTGGATGCAAAGACATGGTATTCTCATGATTCAAGAGAAATGTGACTATGTTGTCTACTTTTATAGCTATCCGCGTACTTCAATATATTGTGATTTTTTAAAGAAAGAAGTAGGTGTTTAGACATAAATATTGTGATTTTGTAAAGAAAAAGTAATATTTGAAATTAGGCTGGAAAATGATATTTGAAATTTGAAATTATGTTTGGACATACATTTCACTTGAAAAAAATGTTGTAATTTTGTGGGTGAGAATTTCTTTTGAAATTATGTTTGGACATGCATAATACTTTTTGGTTTTTGATAAAAGTCTTTTTCGAAAAATCTTTAAAAACTTATAAAATTTTATGGACAAATATGATTTTGAAAAATATTTTGGAAAATAGGAAAAATCTAGGGACAAACAAGTCCTAAGTGTGTTTGGTGTAATGGAAATACCTCTTGAAAAATGATTTTCTAGAAAATAAGTTACTTTTTGGTTTGCCTGAAAAAGCTCTTAAAGAAAAGGATATGTTCTCGAAAAGGTAAAAAAAAAAAATATCTGTGGTAGACGTCATTTTTCACCGCGACTATCTGAATTGTTGACGATACACCATTGCTTCACTCAACAGTTGAACGATACATCATCACTCATTAATAATAAGAAGTTCATCAAGCACTATTTGATTACTCGTTAACAATATTATCAAATAAGATATCTATTACTTACTAACCAGGTACTGGAAGATACTTCTAAGAAACTAGTTTCTTAAAAAATAAGTCATTTGGTATGGGGAAGTTAATCACTGGCATTGTCATTGTTTGTTAAAAATCCTTGTTTGGGGATTTTTACATACTTATACGCTATTTGAAATCTTATTACTAAAATTGTCCATGTTTTGTTATTTACCCGACCTACACAAGTTTTGTTTACAAAATATATACATTCCACCTTAAAAGGTTTACCTAAATGCAGCGAGTACTTCAGGCCCATTAGCTGATCCATCAGATTCGAGAATTTAGTGGGCCCTTGTCTTCACTTTTGGGTACAATAGCCCAACTAATGTTGCAGAAGAACGTGTCTGATGGAACCGACGCAAGTCCACACCACTCTTTTTTGACTCCTTTGTTTATTTTACCTTAAAAAGTAAAAAAGCAACAAAAAGTACTAAAGCATTACACTCTTGAGGAGGAAATGATCAAAATGGTCCCTAATGTATAAGGGTTGGACTATTTTGGTCCTTGATATACACCCCTTAACGGGAATAGTCCTTAATGTATGTAAAAACTGGATGTTTATGATCTTATGCCCTAAAACTAACAGTTCCTCCTCATGTATCCGTTAAATTTAATGGATTCAAAGCACAAGAGTCCCCACCTTCGATTCCCAGAAAGTTGAGGATAAGATGCTACTTCATTTTTTCTCGGACAAAACTCGATTCACATGGCTGCAAAATACCACGAGTGCAGCCATCCGAGATTTGCCAAGACGTGGGTTGGATATTTCAGTTCCCGATTTTGTTACTTGAAGAAGTTAGAAAATAGCTAAAGAAAGATCGGGGGCGGCCGACGTATTTTGGGGCCTAAAGCCAAACATTAATGAGGGGCTTTAATATTTTTAATTTTTTTTTTATTATTTGAAGTCAATTTTTCTAGCTTTTTTAGATGCAAAGTTACTAATAATTTTCTTATAATCAATTTCTCCTAATAAGTCTTTCTCAATTGACAATATAGCTAACCCATTTAATCTCTCTTGAGGCATTGTTGATCTTAGGTAAGATTTTATCAATTTTAATTTTGAAAAGCTTCTTTCCGCTGAAGCAACGGTAACAGGAATTGTTAACATTATTATATAAGCAATATATGCATTTGGAAAAGAATCAAGTCTCTTTATTTGATTGAGTATATCGATTAAACTATTATCTTCTACTTGTACTATTTCCCTTAATACTTTCAACTCAGAAAAAAAATCTAAACCATCAATATCAGATTGATTATTATGCTTTAAAAAAAATTCAAGATTAACGCAATGTGTTTTTAAATTTTCATCATCTAGTGATCTTAGTTTTTACTGCTAAATAGAAAACCAAAAATATTTTCATATGCTTCAAATTGTTCGAATCTATTTTGAAGTGAAAAAATAGCCTTGTCTACTATGTATAAAAAGTAATCAACTCTAAAGGACTCTTCAAGAGACTTTGAGATTTCATTATCAACATTCTCATCAAATTGTTTCTTCCTAGATATCACACGTTTCTTGCGAAATTCGGGTTCGATATTCATTTCAAATGCAATTTCCTTGGCAGAAATCATAGCAGTTGCAAATCCTTCTTCTCTATATTTGTTAAAAAAAGAAATTAAACCTTTTAATTGATCTATGGCAACATCAATATGCATGTCTTTTGACTGCATACTTTTGCTAACTGAATTAACAGCAAATAATATATCATACCAAATAGTCATACCCAATAAAAATTCAAAATTTTCGAGTTCATATGTTACTAAGCAACTAGCTTCACTTTTAGTTTTTGGATCATCACTAATTTCTACTAATTTCAATAAAGCATCTCTTATTTGTGGAGTTTGAAATCTTATTGCTTTAATGCTTTCAATACGACTTTCCCAACGAGTTTGTGACAATATTTAAGAGTTAGACTGGGTACACTATCCTTTAATACTTTCCATCGCTTAGTAGAAGATGAAAATAGTGAATATATACGTTGTACCACTCCAAAAAATGATATAGCTTTTGTACAAGAACTAGCCATATCACAAAGTAACAAATTTAGATTATGACAACCACATGGTGTATAAAATGATCTAGGATTTACATCAAGAAGTCTTTTTTGCACTCCTTGATGTTTTCCTTTCATATTTGACCTATTATCATATCCTTGCTCTCTTAAGTTATCAATATCAAGTCCAATATTTTTTATTTCATCTATAATAACTTCAAAAAGACCTTTTCCGCTTGTATCATCTGCTTTTAAAAATGCTAAAAATATTCATTAATTTTTATTGGAGTTGCTGAAATATCCACACTCCGCAATATAAAAGACATTTGTTTTGATGACTTGTATCTGGAGTGCAATCAAGTATGATCGAGAAATATTTTGCTTATATAATTTGATTCTTAATTTCACTTGCCAATAAGTTTATCAATTCATTTTGTATTCTATGACCAAGATAATGACTATGAATTTCATCATGCTTAATTCGTCGAATATGTTCCTGCATAACGGGTCAAATTTTGCAATCATTTCAATTAAACTTAAAAAATTTCCATTATTCTCTTGATATATCTTTTCATTTTTTCCTCTAAATGCCAAATTATTTTTTCCAAGAGTTTTGATCACGGCAATAATTCTTGATAATACATTTTTCCAATGCTCTCTATCTCTATTGATTTGTTCTTGAACATCTTTATCGATTGTCTTATCTTTTTGCATTCTTATTTCTAAATCAATCCATGCAGCCATGTTAATAATATGTTCATTTATTGTTTCAAGAGTTTTGAGCTTACTACTAATATTTCTCCAATCATTACTACCATCACTAGCTAGTTTACTACTACAAGTTCCGGAACTCGAACCAAACAATTTACAACAAAAATAAAATACTTTATCTAAGTCTTTAGAATAAACTAACCATCTTCTATCATGTTTTTCACCATTTGCCAATTTATGAATATAATGTGTAGTAGAAAAATGTCTTGAAAAATTATCATTCGGAAAATTTGTGTGCAATTATTCTAATCGGTCCTTTTTCTACTAATAGATCTCTCAACTTTGTATCTATATTAGTCCATTGACTAGGATCATATATATTTATAGGAGTTGAATTATCTATTTCATTTATAAGTTCTTGATTTTTTTGAGGATCTATTTCTGACTTGTCACTTACTTGCTCTTTTTCTACTTGAAATATATTAATTTTAGAATTATCTAACTCAACCGAATTACTAACTTGCTCATCTAGAGAACACTCTCCCAATTTTTCTGATTCAAGATCTTTATTATTCAATAAATATTTATCAAGAGCACCTTTTTGAGATTGTATTAGATTTTGAATTCTTCTTCTTTTCTTGAATTTTTCATAACCAGATTCATACTTTCTATTTGACATACTTATCTTCTAATAAATAATCTAAAAATGCAGTAAATAGCAAAATATTAAATTTTAGATGAGAAAATAATAAAAAGATAGAATGATAGCATCCGGTTCAAGAACGGATAACTTGATATCAAATTAAATTCCTGCTCGAGTATGCTTGTTGTAAGACTTGAATTATGAGAATAGATCGAACGAACAAAAAACACTGTACTTTTTTTTGAATCAATACACAACTCTAAACCTCCAAAATAATTCTTGATCTTTTGCTATTGTAGAATGGAGGCTTGAATTGAAGAACAAGTACAAAAATATAGAATAGTGCACACGTTATTGTTTTCACTTTGCTTGAGAAAGTTGTGACTTGTGATAGAAAAATTAAAACTTTAAAGTAAAAGTTGTACTTGTTTATGTACTATAGCCAATAAGAATAAATTCCTACCTAATTGATTATTTTTCAAGATATTCTCCTTAAAGAGGGACTCTTTCCATACCCAAAAAGACTCTTTCCATTCCCAAAAAATCAGTAACGTTGGTTACTACCATGTAATTGTACTTTCAGATTTTATTTTATTTTAAAAATAAATTACTATGAGTAATATAAGTGGGCCCCTCCCATTGGCATTCACTATCTCAAATTTGTGCTCTTTTTATACAAACTTCCCACGTATTGTTTCACTTTATAATTTTTTTTTAAAATTTTTATTATCTATATGTGTGTGTATATATATATATATATATATATATATATATATATATATATATATATAAAATNCATGAGACCAAAAACATCCACTTTTTACATACTTTAAGGACCATTTCCATTAAGGGGCATATATCAAGTACCAAAACACCCTCAATATTGAGATATAAACTCCAAACAATATTCCCGATTGTTTGCAATAAAACCAATCCAGACAAATAATGGTTTTTGAAAACCCAAATTCGAATTCAAGGCTTCAAAGCTTTTTAATGACTG